TTTAAAAGAATATACTTCAGTGCAAATGTTTTCAGATGCTTAATTGCATGTTATTTGTAATTAAATGAAAATGTATTATAGTTTAAAAATCAGCTGAACCTTAGAGTGCTTTTTGATTCACATATGTACTGTAGTAAAAAAAGTATAGTAGTTTCTGTAGTAAGAAAAGTAAGACAGTAAATGTTAAATATGTAAATGTGCTAAGAGATCATTTTGTGAGCTTTAGGAATATATTACCGTACTAACAAACAGATTTAGAGCCATACGACTTCAGATTTCATGAGGTCTTTAATCACTCCAGCCATGCTAACATTGCGGTTCTGCAGTGTGTGTGTGTGTGTGTGTGTGTGAGAGAGAGAGAGCTCTCCAGACTTTAGGAAGAGATCTCTCCCTGTTCCACATTCCCCATCTGAGCGATAAGAGAGTGTCTGTGAGCCGTTGTGTTGATCTTCACACAGAGAGAGCACACTTTGCTCTGACCTTTACTCTAGCGGTGTGTGTGTGAGGAAACAGTGGGTAGAGTCTCTCTTTTCATCACAGTGCTAATGAGGGTGAGGACACGCTAGCCAGGAAACAGCTATTGTTCCCCGTCCAAGAGCACTGCTACTGGCACACACACGCATTTGTGAGCAGGTTCATTCAGCATTTCACATTCATAGACTGAAATACTCTACAATATGTCCTATTTACCCTGCTGTCGCACTCTTTTGTAGTCACAGGAATTCAAACACGTGTATTTAATAGCGCATAACTTTCTCCTGTGGTCACTTTCTCACCTTCTACCCTCTCCGTATATTGGCTCTGATAGCTATTAATGTGTCAATCATGCAGCACTCAGTGGGCCATACAGATGTGACAGGCCGCTTTACTGCATTCTCTCATGCCGGTGTTAATGTCTTGGTTCCCTGCAAATATATACAGCATATCTGTTATCAAGCTGTGTAATGTTCATGTTTATATTCAGCACATGATATCATGCTGCGTCGTTGTTTGCTGTAGTTTCAGCACCGATAGAGCTTTATGGATGAAGGACATTAGGAAAGAGAGGATGATTCATTGGTGGATTGCTTGTTTCTGTATCTATTCTATGTGTAGGAAATTTCACAGAGAGAGCACACTTTGCTCTGACCTTTACTCTAGCGGTGTGTGTGTGAGGAAACAGTGGGTAGAGTCTCTCTTTTCATCACAGTGCTAATGAGGGTGAGGACACGCTAGCCAGGAAACAGCTATTGTTCCCCGTCCAAGAGCACTGCTACTGGCACACACACGCATTTGTGAGCAGGTTCATTCAGCATTTCACATTCATAGACTGAAATACTCTACAATATGTCCTATTTACCCTGCTGTCGCACTCTTTTGTAGTCACAGGAATTCAAACACGTGTATTTAATAGCGCATAACTTTCTCCTGTGGTCACTTTCTCACCTTCTACCCTCTCCGTATATTGGCTCTGATAGCTATTAATGTGTCAATCATGCAGCACTCAGTGGGCCATACAGATGTGACAGGCCGCTTTACTGCATTCTCTCATGCCGGTGTTAATGTCTTGGTTCCCTGCAAATATATACAGCATATCTGTTATCAAGCTGTGTAATGTTCATGTTTATATTCAGCACATGATATCATGCTGCGTCGTTGTTTGCTGTAGTTTCAGCACCGATAGAGCTTTATGGATGAAGGACATTAGGAAAGAGAGGATGATTCATTGGTGGATTGCTTGTTTCTGTATCTATTCTATGTGTAGGAAATTTTGGCTCAATATTAGCAAAATTTTACAGTACATGTATATCTATATCTATATATATATATATATATATATATATATATATATATATATAAACACACACACACACACACATACACACCCACACTGTAATACATATATACATATAAATATTTTATTTAAATATTAATTCTAATATACTGTATGTGTTACAATATAATAATAATAATAATAATAATAAATATTATTAGATATAGTTATTATTTGTAATAATATTATTATTAATGACAATATTTATTTATAATAGTATTTAAATAAGTATGTAATTTTAGTTTCAATTAGCTTATATAAAGCATACAACACACTCTATAATGCTTAGAAAATACATAGATATTTTATATAAAATATAATTATTATATATGTATGTATGCATGTATGTATATGTGTGTGTGTGTGTTCATTATATATGTACACACACACACACACATAAATATTATTTGTAATAATATTAATATTATTAATAAATATTACATAAAATAATACAAATTAATGTTTAAATTATAATTTTTTTTTAAAGTTTGCATTCTATGTAAAGCACAATATACTTTATAATACATATAAAAGGCTATTTATTTTATATAAAACTTGAATCTTTTTTTTTTTTTTTAATAATTAAAACTAATATACTGTCTAAATGTAATGTAATCTAATTTCTCAAAATTAATGAACTGTGATGTTGAACTGCAGGGAATAAGTGTTTAATATGGTTTGATTTAAAGGGGACATTCTGATGCAAAATTCACCTTTACATGGTGTTTGCATATAAATGTGTTTTAGCAGTGTGTGGACACAACCATCCTACAATGATAAAAATCCATTCACTCTTTTTTTAAACCCCAGAAAATCTAAACTGTCTCAATTATCAAGCCGTTTTGATTTTTGAGCAATATGACGTCATATTACAGAGGCTCCGCCAACAGCCGCTGACGGACTGTCCCGTATTAGCATATTTCCACCCTCAGCTGTTCGCTGTCTGCCATTTTCTCCTCGCTCGAGCATCTGTAGTGACTACAATGTCTCGTAAGCAATTCAGGAGTTTTGTAGTTGGATGTAAAAGTGAACATAAGGGTGTTTATTTTGTCCCGACATCAGAGCCACTGAGGATGCAGTGGATTAGGAAGAGAGGGGTGGGGTGAGCAGTAGCTCATTATCATTTAAAGAGACATGCACCGAAACGGCTCCCTGTGAACAGAGCTGTTTTTGACAAGGTAAAAAGGGTGTAGTTTTACACGACCACTGAGGAATTTTAACCAAAGTATGTTACAGACATTTCATGAAGACCCTAAAGAATCATACCAACTTGTGGAAAATGGGCATCCGATGTCCACTTTAAAGTCAGCATGAAAATAAAATGGATCCTATTTACTTTCTTAATGCACAGTCTTTAATGTAACTTTTAAAGATGATGTAAGCTTTAAAAAATGATCCTGTGCTCTTCTTTTGAGGAGGCTAAAACAATGTTGAGCCCATAGGCGGAGGGTGAACCAACTCCAGGGTAAGGCTAAAAGCAGCCAAATGTATTAAATATCATAAACCCGTCTTTTTAGGCAAGAACCAGACATAGGTGTCATGTAGGCTAAAAAAAATGTTTAATGGGACTGAATTTGTATTTAACGTGATTACAATTTAATAAAAACATTAGAAATTGATAATTATATAACGTTTCCTTTCCACTGTTATTCAAATAGCAAATAAATTATATATAGAAAGTGACATTATAACTAACATTGATCTATCGCGAGTTTAAGCACTCAAAACTATCGTTATAATCACTGACGCTGTATAAACTGATAAATTAATCTCTTACTTGCATTGTACGTACACCTGCGCTTTGTTGTTTGTGATGAGAGAATTCGCAAGAGTCCGGAATTCAGTCAGCAAACGCGCGCACTCAACAAAACCGATGAGTTGACGATGACTCATCTGAACGCTTCTGATTGGCCATTGCATTCATGTGTGTGATTGGTTAAAATACGCAACACTGTAAAAACACCTAAAATGAAATACGGTGCAACATGAACAGATCTTAATTTAATGCCGCAATTGACATTGTCTATTCATATTCACTTTGTTAGCAACAGTCGTAATAAATTTAATTTGTTTGTGCAAGGGCATTTTTGTCCAATTTAGTGGCATTTTTGCCCCAAGTCCCCGTGGCCAGGGGAAGGCTAAGCCTTACACACGCTCTGCCTATGGTTGAGCCATTATGAAACTTGAGTTGACCTTTATCATCCTTATAATTCCCTTGTGGCAAAAAAACATGCAAGAGTTTCAGAGGCTAATTTATCAGCATTAAGCATGTGAATCCATATTTTGGTGGGCGAATATGCTGATAAGTGCTTTAACAGATGGACAAAAGCAAACACAAAGTTCCGGGCCAGGACAGAGGCGGCATGAAACACTACCTTCAAAGCTTGTACTGGAAACAAATATTTACAGTTTGACTCATGAAGGTGTAACTTCACCGTGGGAAGAGTCACTTTAAAAGCCTCCACTGTTTAAAGAGAGCATCTCCACTTTCTCTTCTGATATCTGTCTATTTTCTCTGCTTGGGGGATCTGCCTTCATTTTGAGCTCGAGGACCAGGTGTGGTTTGAGGTATGGTTTAAAAAATGCAGGAAATTTCTTTCTTACTCAAACAGAGACAGGACAAAGAAAACTATGTTGAAGGCAGAAGAAATGTCTTGTGGTCAACGGCACATAAAATGTGTTTCATATTTTATTTCATGTTATTTAATGCTTATATGAACTGGTGGTTTTTGGTCTCCAGTGATGGTCCACATATACAAACATATAACTTCCTTTTCTTTCAAAGCACATATACATATTATATCATTATTTTGTGTATTTGGTGTAACAGAATATGTTGACATGCTTTAATGTTCAAAAAACACATTATTTTTCAAATACTGTACATTATTGTAGGTCCTATATGCCCCGCCTCTCTCAAATGACTTTAGGGATCTTATCTATTCACGAACAGCTTGTAACACTCCAAAGAGAAAAGAAAACTTGAAATCACATCATATGACCCCTTTAAGTAGAGTAAATGAAAAAAAAAAAAAAAATATGTATATATATTGCTCAAATGAAGGAAATGGGTTGCTATTTAAACTATCACAGAAAAGTGTAATCCATGGGAAATCTACTCAAATATTAGATTAGAATACATGTAAGCTGATCTGCTCAAAGGTCTCTGTGTTTGTCTGTTTCTCAGGGATCTCAGGAATAACTTGATCAGCACCATCATGCCTGGAGCCTTTCTGGGTCTCACAGCTCTTCGGAAACTGTAAGTACACCTTAAAATCATAATCAGTTATTATAACAGGACACCAGTTACACACTTTTACCAATAATATGACAGTAATTGCATTAACTTTCACTCAAATATTTCCACATAGTGACCTAGATATGTGGGGGCGTGTTAGAACGAGCCGTTTTAGGGGGGTGTGGCAGAGTCTTAACTTTGATAAAGAATATCTCTTTGGTTTTGAGACTTTAGTCTTTGCAACTTCAGGGATCTTATCTATTCACGAACAGCTTGTAACACTCCAAAGAGAAAAGAAAACTTGAAATCACATCATATGACCCCTTTAAGTAGAGTAAATGAAAAAAAAAAAAAAAATATGTATATATATTGCTCAAATGAAGGAAATGGGTTGCTATTTAAACTATCACAGAAAAGTGTAATCCATGGGAAATCTACTCAAATATTAGATTAGAATACATGTAAGCTGATCTGCTCAAAGGTCTCTGTGTTTGTCTGTTTCTCAGGGATCTCAGGAATAACTTGATCAGCACCATCATGCCTGGAGCCTTTCTGGGTCTCACAGCTCTTCGGAAACTGTAAGTACACCTTAAAATCATAATCTGTTATTATAACAGGACACCAGTTACACACTTTTACCAATAATATGACAGTAATTGCATTAACTTTCACTTACAGAACTGCTTAACTGTTAGGGGCCATTCACACAGAACCGTTTTTCCATTCTAATACTTTTCCATTGTACAAAGCTGTTTTCATCATTGCTAATTATCAGAAATGTTTATTGAGCAGCAAATCAGCATATTAGAATGATTTCTGAAGGATCACGTGACACTGAAGACTGGAGTAATGATGCTGAAAATTCAGCTTTGCATAACAGAAAAAATATTTTTATTTTAAAATGCATTGCAATATATTTTTTGCAATATTATTATTCATGGAGAGACTGTTTTTCATCAAGTAAATGTAGCCTTGGTGAGCATAACTTATATTTATAGACTGTGGTATATAGCTGTTATATAATACCTTGACTGTAATTGAACTAATAAGAGTAGCTTGGCTACAGTTTCAAAGTTTGAATCATTGATCACTGTATAATGATTGTTGTATGATGAAGTAGTTTCTGAAGTTTTCTGAAGCACAGATCTATGCCTGCTAGAACTGGAACACAAAATAACAGTGCATCTGATTTACTGTAATCTGTACAGTGACCTATCCAGTAACCGAATTGGCTGCTTGACTTCAGAAGTGTTCCAGGGACTTACCAACCTCACGAAATTGTAAGTCATTATTTCTGAAACAAATATTTATTGGAATACAAAAACACAGAAGAACACTATCGCTCAAGTGTTTCTGTGCTGCACAGGATAACAGGGCCGTCCTTAGCTGACGCGGGGTAGGGAGAGGGGCACCCCTCGGTCCGTTCGTGGCAGAGGCCCCCTCAAGCGCAGGGCCCGGTGCGGCCGCACCAGTTGCACCCCCCTAAGGACGGCCCTGCAGGATAACATATATTTGATAGTTTCAGCTTTTAAGATGTTGATATACGCAGTATCTATTGCAAATGGTGCATTTTATAATGTTCTTGTCATATTTAATTATTGTGAGATGTTTTGTGTTCTTATACAATAGAAACATCTCTGGAAACATCTTTTCCTCTCTGGACCCGCATTTGTTTTTGGAGTTACACTCTCTAAAGCTGGTGTGAGTTAAAGTCATTGCTCTCATGGTGCACATGCTCATTTTTTGTACAGAAAGATATATTGCTGGGATTTCTAGCATTCCAATTGTCAGTGATTTTGTTTGATAATTTTATATAGCACAAAGCTAAGATTGTGCATCTCTTTCTATATTTCACAACTATATTCCCTAGAAGTGGTTTGCTATTAAATGAAGCCTAGTTCTTTATCAGGTATGACAGGATAATCCCATAATGCAGCTGGGATGAATATATCTGATCTCACCCTGTTCCCGTAACCATTAGTGTCATAATTAACACTTTAGCATGACATAAAGTAGACCTAAAAAATAGTTCAACCCTGAAGTCACACTTAAAATGTGTAAATGCCTTTGTATTAAATAAATAAGATGTCACGTGATTTGTTTGTAATGTCACAACAGATCAAAAACATGAAATGCTGTAGGGAACCACAGCCGTTTATTAACAGTAGTGATGTCATGAAACCAAAACTGTCCATTTCTTAATTAATTTCTGTTCAGATTTAGGAGATACTAAATGTCTTTTAATACACAAATAAATGGACAGTCTTCTTCTGAAGAACAAGGTTTATCTAATTCTTACCTCCATTTGTGTGCTCATTAGGAACTTTCATTCTGAGTTCCTGTCATGTGACTGCGGTCTGCGCTGGGTGCCAGGCTTTTTCCGCAGCAGTTCTGCTCGGCTTGGGGACGAAACACTCTGTGCGTATCCCAGAAGACTTCAGAACAAACCCCTGTGTCTCCTGAGAGAGAGTGACCTCAGCTGTGGTGAGCAAAATTAATATCAATCTTATACAAAATCATGTTCAGTTATGTACATACAATATGCACATCTGAATGAAATTTACAGCAGCATATTTACTTATAAATAAACATATGCTCCATATATATTTTAATGTACATACAGGGGACTGGGGCTAGTTGTCACATTTTTTGTTCCAGTGAATATTTCTCAGGGTAGTTTTATAGCAAGCAAGCAAGCAAAGCAAAGCAAAGCAAAGCAAAGCAAGTAAGCAATAAATAAAAAAAAAAGCTAAACCATTTTTTTTGGACAGAACATTTAAAATACATTATTATTATTTTTCTTATTATTAAATATATTTACATTATTTTAATATTACAATTATTTCTTCGTTGTTTATTCTTTTTATTTTTAATAATAATAATAATTATTATTATTTTTACATTATTATTATTATTATTATTATTATTATTATTATTATTATTATTATTATTATTATTATTATTATTATTATTATTATTATTATTATTATTATTATTATTATTATTATTATTATTATTATTATTATTATTATTATTATTATTATTATTATTAAAAGGGTTTTAATGCACTTTTGACTCAAACCCTTAGTATGATGTAGCCCTTGTGGCAACTTCCAGAAACAGAAATATCTAGTATTGAAATCTGCATAATTGATCAGTGACAGCACCTTCTTAGTCTCTGATCAGTTTTGCTATTTTGGCTGAATTGCAGTGTTGCTCAATCTTTGTGTCTTAGCCAGCTAAGATCAAGTATGTATGCTTAAAAAAATCCCTATTTCTCTGACTTTTGCCACAGGGGTCTGATTATATTTCTCAGGGACTTTCTGTTAAATCTCATCTCATCTTTTTGTTAGACATGTACTGCATTTTTCTGAGTCTTGGGCCTCAAACCGGAGCTCCTGTTACTGTTTTGATATCAGCTCATTTCACCATCTCTTCCTCTGCTGCCCTTAAACATATTTATGTTGGCCAGAAGCACATAGCTGTGACCGACTAGGAAAGATCCCTCTGTGGGTTTGCAGTTGTGAATACATGTCCTCAGGCCTCGACAAGGGACTGATTCACCCAGGCTGTTTCACAAGCAAAGATGATTTTGAATGATTACACAGCAACAAATCCCACAAAGCGCTTTCTTACACTTCCTGCTATTTGTGTACGACAAGTAATACGATGAATTCGCTTCAGTTATTAACAGAGGAGATGTCTAACAGTGCAGTCTATTAGGATTAAAGATGAAAACAGATGAAAGCACATAAATAATTTCTGATCCATAGAAAACTGAAGGCCTGATCTCTTTACATAGGATAGCAGTAATCAGAATAGCAGGAGACCATGTGAGAGTCCACAAGCAATACATCTATATCTGCACTTCACAGATGATTACATGGGCATATTATTAGATTGTAATACAGATACTTCAAATAATCTATGATGTACACTGTCGTTCTAAAGGTTGGTGTTAAAAAAGTCTCATACTCACCAAGGCTGCATTCATTTGATCTGAAATACAGTAAAAACAGTAATAATGCATCGGGTTAAGATTTGGTTTAAGGACAGGAATCTACAATAAATCTTTGTTTTTGTAGTCAGTAAGATTTTTTTTCTTCTGTGAATCCAATGTTTATCTTTTAAATGATTTTGCTCCTCAGAGGGTCCGCTGGAGCTGCACACGCTGTCTCTGTTGCCCTCACTGCGGCAGGTCGTGTTTAAGGGGGACAGGCTGCCTTTCCATTGCACTGCTTCATTGGTGGACAAAGTCACTGCTCTTCACTGGCGACACAACGGTCAGCCTGTCACCACTGACCCTGCCAATGGGGTTCATCTGGAAGAGAGTTTACAACATGACTGCACCTTCATCACCAGGTAACACACACAGAGACTAACATTTAAAACATTTAAATAGACATATCAAGCAGTAGAAAATGTGTATGTATCTTAGCTGACTATTAGGCTACAGCTGTTTGGCTTCTGAGAGACGCTCAGAGAAGGAACTGTTTGATTTGCGATCGTGCTGTTAAAGGGGTCATATGATGCTTTTTTAAAGATCATTATTTTTAGTTTTTGCAACTTCAGGGATCTTATCTATGCACAATCAGCTTGTAACACTCCAAAGAGAAAGGAAAACTTGAAATCGCATCATATGACCCCTTTAAAGAACAGGTTAACATTATAGTTCATAAGTCAGAAACATCGCTCTTTGACAGTATATTATTACTGGTATACCATTATGTTCATTTTTTTAGTGAGCTGATCCTGTCAAATGTGCACGTTGAGGCGAGTGGTGAGTGGGAGTGTGTGGTGTCCACGGGCCGTGGGAACGCCTCACGCAGTGTGGAGATAGTGGTACTGGAGAACAGCGCCTCCTTCTGCCCGGAGCAGAGAGTGACTAACAACCGAGGGGAGTTCAGGTAAGTGATTTGTCCTACAGCTTTCCTGTGGCTTAATAATGCTTATCTAGAAAAGCCTGGCAATATGTCATATGTTCCCCTCTTTGGCTTCAGGTGGCCTAGAACTCTGGCTGGCATCACCTCTTACCAGTACTGTCTGCAGCTGCGCTACCCCTCCTTAGCTATAGGGGGCGGCGTGGAGCAGAAGAAGGCTTCACGTAACTGTGACCGCTCTGGACACTGGGAGGAGGGAGACTACTCTCAGTGCCTCTATACTAATGACATCACACGGGTCCTGCATACCTTCATACTGGTTAGTGACAGTCTAGGGTCTTGTTTTTTAAAACATTTTTTTTCCTACTAATATGTAAGGCCTTTAAAGCACCATGAAATCAATATTAAAGTTTTTTGGGTGTTAGTATCAACATGTTAGTCTTAAGGTTATCTATAAGGCAGTGTGCTCCAAAACAGTGACAAAATTCGCATTTAGAAGATATAAGCATTCAAAGCTTGCAGTTCATCACTTCCGCTAAAATGGCTCAATTGATATGTCCCACCCTGTCTTCCTGTTTCAGTTAAAATGACGTCAACACATAGAGTAACGCTGCGTGTTTCTAAGCATTTCAGGGGACCTTTAAAGCTCCCCCTTGTGAAAAAAGAAGTACACTCTTGCATTCTTTTCAAATGAGTACATATTACGGAAATGATATACTTTACAAGAATGTACTTAAGCATGAACTAAGTGTAATGTTAATGCTGAATGTGCATTGCAATTAAATAAAAATTGTTTATAGTTTAAATTTATATTGAATGCAATTGGGCTTAAGAGTGTTTTTTGACCCACTTAAGGACTGTGTAATGAATAATTATTCATGTTTTTGAAATATAGTTCAAGTGTACTGCCAAATGTACTGACAAGCATTTTTGTAAACTAAAATACTTTAAAAAATACTTTAATATAATTTCTATTGAAACGTGTAAGTTATGTATTTAAATGTATTTGTAATTACACATTTAAAATAATGAAATTGCAATTTAGTACATTTATAATATATTGGTTTTAAATCAAACAACACACTACACTTAAAATATTAATAAAGTACTTTACATGTCCTTTAGTATCTTAGGCAACACATCAAAATAAGTGTACTTTAATGCACATTTTAAATCATTAAAACATAATGATTTAAAATGCATGTATTTTTTTAATTTGGCATTATTACAAAATGCACTTTTAAAAGTATGTTAAGAAACATACTGTTGTACACTTAAGTGGCCTTTTATTTAATGAATATTGTAATATCTGCAAGTACAGTTTTTCAATATCGTGCATTCAATTACAGTGTACATTCAATACTGTTAAGCACACTTATTTTTTTTTCTTCTTCTTCCACAAGGGCCAGTTGGCAAGACACTGATACATTCTATCTGTTCCTCGGTGAAACAAGAAAAGGGAGAAAATATATTATCAGTTTAATTTCTGCTGAATATTCCACAATAAAAATAAGATTTTTTATGGTTTTGAAAGAAGTCTTTTATGCTTATTAAGGCTGCATTTATTTGATCAAAAATACAGTGAGAACAGTAATATTGTGAAATATTTTTACAATTTAAAATAACTGTATTCTATTTGAATATATTTGAAAATGTCATTTATTTCTGTGATGCAAATCTGAATTTTCAGCATCATTACTTCAGTTTTCATTGTCACATGATCCTTCAGAAATCATTCTAATATGTTTTTGTTCATTTTATATTCATTGTTAATTCTGTCCTTCTCACTCAGATGCCCATCAACGCCTCCAACGCTGTGACTCTGGCACACCAGGTGCGATCACACACTCTGGAAGCCACCGGTTTCACAGACACGGTGGATGTTCTTTATGTGGCTCAGATGATGCACAAATTCATGGATTATGTGACAGAACTGCGTGAGGTTGGTAGAACATAGTATTCAACAGTGCATATATTGCAGTGCATTTGCATCCTTACATAAACATGCACTCCTTCATCCCAGCTGTCCGAAGTCCTGGTTGAAATGGGCAGTAACCTGATGCAGGCAGATGATCAGATTCTGGTTCGAGCCCAGAGAGAGGAGAGAGCCTGCAGTTCAATCGTCTACACACTTGAGAATCTCGCCTGGCCTCAGCTACATTCTCACGCACAGGACTTCTCCAAAGTACGCTTTTAATCATGGCAGCTTCACATTATTGCACATATATATCATACTTTTATTCAGGTAGGTTGCATTAAATTGATAAAAAAAAGTGTCAGTAATGGCATTTACATTGACAAAAAGATTTCTATTTCAAATAAACGCTGTTCTTCTCAACTTTCTATTCACCAAAGAATTCTGATAAAATATGTATCATGGTTTCCACAAAAATATGAAGCAGCACAACTGTTTTCAACATTGATAATAATAAGAAATGAAACTTGAACACCAAATCAGCAAATTTCCTCTCTTTCTTAGAGTTCACGTAACATTGTGATGGAGGCTCACATGATTCGTCCTGCTCATTTTACTGGCATGAGCTGCACGGTCTATCAGAGACGAGAGGGGGCAGGAGGGAGCCAGGGGCATGATGGGATTGAATCTTCCCTTGAGCAGCAACTGCGATTTCGCTGCACCACAGGAACACACAACACCTCGTTGAACGCTTTCCATCTCAAGGTTTGTCATGGTTTGTGTGCAAGTGTACACTTGTGTGTAAATGTCATTTTGTACATATATCTAATATGCCTGCAGTAAATATGTGTGTATATATATATATATATATATATATATATATATATCAACTGATTGCAATTTTTATCCAATTGCAATTAGCATGCAGTTTAGGGCCCAAAATCATTACATTCTTTTCGCACTTGATTTTGTGTTGCAGAAAAAATTGTTTATTGTCATAATCATTGGTATCTATCATATTGCTACTACTGGTATTTTAGACATGTAAAAACACGCCTTTTAGCCATGGTATAATCACTGAAACCTACCGGTTTTTGCTTTAATAAACATTTTTGGTTGGCCCTTACTTTGTCTTGTGTTTTTCTCGCTCTCTAGAACGCAGTGGCTCTTGCTTCAGTGTCTCTCCCTGCATCTCTTTTTCCACCGAATGCTCCTCCTGACTGTAAGCTGCAGTTTGTGGCATTCCGCAATGGAAGATTCTTCCCATTTACCAGCAATTTTACAGGACATTTGGACCTTGCCCGCAGACGTGGTGTCAACACTCCAGTTATCTACGTTGGCCTAGGTGGGTTGCTTTCAGCTCAAACATTCAAGGGATTGAAAACGTTCATAATATTTTAACAGTGCTAGAGTAGCTGGTTGTATACTGATGTAGTGCAGGCACTTTGGGAGAAGACTCATAAAATATTCAATTCAGGATAGTAAATCCATTCATTTAATAATTAAATAATTTTGACCAGAGCACAGATGGAAACATTCTTGTTTTCTCTCTCTTCTTATCTGTCAGATGGATGTAGCATGTGGAATCAGTCTGATCACATTATTGTGTCACTACGACACACATCAGCTGGAAATGAACCTGTTGCTGCCCACTGGAGCTTGCAGGCACTGGAGCATCATGGGAGCTGGAGTCTAGATGGCTGTCAGCTGGCCCATAGTGATGCGTCCACCTCTACACTGCGCTGCTCTGTGCTGAGCAATTACGCTGTACTTCAGGTGACCCCTTTATAAAATACTGATATGTCCTTTGTTCTACTATATGGCATTGTAATTTTGCTGCCTCCTAAGATATCTAAACATACTTCATGGATGATCCCAAAATGCATTGCGCTGAGCTCTGTGAAAAAACAATGCAAGAGAAATGTCAATTGCATATTTCAGATTTTTTATGTTATATTTAATTCAGAATTGTAAAGTATAATTTTTTTTTAAATCAATTTAAAAATGAATTGTTATCCAGTCTTTGTGTGTACCATATATTTTCACATATCACCAGCTTAGCTATATGCTAACACCAAACATCATTGGGTTCAATCATGAGTCCAGTCTTCTGCTCAAATCACTTAATGAGTGACATGTTGGGTTGCCTGTTATGTCAAGTTAAGTATGAGGTTTTATGACTGTTATGATGATGCCTTGAAATGTAGGAAGCAAACATTGGGGCAGCTCAATGGGTTTTGGAACAGAGCCACTGATACATAGTATGTCAGCTTGATTAATAGCCCGGTTGTGGTTGTTTTTATCAAAGCTAATAATATATGCCTACACTTAGTAGAGAAATACTGTATAGTCAGTCCTTTACTTGAGGAGGACAGGTTTTCCATTACAAACTGATATTTGATGCAACATTTCTTCATCATGACATGCATCAAAGGATTTTAATGTTCATCTAGGTCCTACACTGTTTTTGTTATTGAGGTAATTTGGTAATAGATGGCCATTGGCCATTTGTTGAAACTTCTTGGCACTGAAGAACCCAGTACTGACATCAGAGCAATTTCTCAGAACCTTTTTTATGAGAAGAAATGGCTATATTTATCCATTTCTCCTCACAAAAATGTTCAGTTTAGTTAAATGTTTCATTCCATTTGTTACTATCAATCTCAGCAGTATTGGCCTAGAAGATGGCATCAGACCGAAAAAAGTGGCATTTCTTACACCTATTCTTTTTTTAGGTGTCCTAGAGTTATAGCTCGGCTACGAAGTCATATGTATGAATGTTTTAAAAGATTCTCTCCATTTTCCCTGTCAATGTTTCAGGAGATGCCAGATTTCCCGAGTTCACCTTCGATTCCAGTGGAAGTGCTCCATCCAGTGATCTACACCTGTACTGCAGTGCTGCTTCTCTGTCTCTTCACCATCATCATCACCTATATACTGCATCACAGGTATTTGTCTCACATAAAATGCCATACATACAGTATATGTAACAATTCTAAGACCGAAAACATACACTACATGGCCAAAATTATGTCAATACACCCAAAAACTCAAAAACTAAAAGAAAACGGTCCTGCAAACTGTTGCTACAAGGTAACACAATTCTATAATGTCATTGCATGATTTGTTATTACTGGAATAGCCAAACTTGTTAAATTAGAACTAGAAGTGGATGTCAACATACTTTTGGCCAAACAATGAAATTTCTCAACAGTTTCTTTTTTTTGCCATCAGCTCTATCAGAGTCACAAGGAAGAGTTGGCACACACTCCTGAACACTAGTTTCCACATCGCAATGACATCTGCTATATTTGCTGGAGGCATCACTCTGACCGGCTACCCAATCGTATGCCAGGCAGTAAGTCTCCATTTCTCTTACATCATAATAATGTTTTGTTTTATTAAGCGCCTTTCTTACAGCTTTTCAAGGTTGCTTTACAAGCAAACAAAGAGTGAAAAAAACGAGTGAACACTTTTAATACACAAATAAAACGGATAAATTAGAGATGAAGGAGATATTGTGGAGATTGTGTCAGTGATTTCCAGAATTTTTGCAATGCAAAAATAAAGTAGAAATACAAAACAGTAAAGAAAAAAGTAAGTGTGTATATAATAAAGAAAACAATCCAAAAACTAAAGTATTAGCTTTTATTTGGCATTGTACTGAAAAAAATAAAATGACTACAGATTACTTCTACAAGAATTATATTTTACTACAAGGATTATATATTTTTTTATGTGCTAATGTATTGTTACTCTGCTTGTGTTACTTGTTTTACTCATGTATGTATATGTTTGTGTCAGGTGGGGATTGTTCTTCACTATTCTTCTCTGTCCACTTTGTTATGGATCGGTGTTAGCGCCAGAGTCATCTATAAAGAAGCCTTATTAAGGACTCCACAGCAACTAGAAGGAGAAACTGCTGTACAACCAACCCAGCGGCCCATGCTCAGGTCAGTGAAGTCATCATGGAGGGCTGGAAGCGTTAGATGGTTAATAACGGCTTGTTTTTGTAAATGTATCTTTCACATGCACACTCAAACTATCAGATACCTGTTTTTTTCTCTATATTTAGGCCCCAGTGCCCATAAAACCCTCACAGAACAAACATTCTTTGTAATCCAATCGATAGGCCTGTTTGGACTGTATTTGTTTTACATAGGGACATGAGGTAATTTTATCATTTAAAGGCCTTTTTATTGCCGTCCAAATGAGAAATGTCAGTGTTTTTGTCCAAACACCTATGAGATAATTCTAGGCTGGATTAGCTACTTTTAATAAAAACCACTGCAGGCAGAAGTTTCACTTATACTTCGATTAGCAAGGTAACAGTTTAGGATACTAGCTTAGCATAGCACTAATAAATGGTTAAAAAGTTCTTTGAGGCATTGAGGAAGGTGGATATGATTCACTGGGGGATGGGATCTTGAAACTGGTTTCGTCATACAACATAATCCCTTGTCCCTGCATGTGAATACATGCGTTTTATGACAGACAGGTCATGCAGATAGCTCTTTTACATTCAGATTTCATTCTTAAGAAACTATACAGTTTGAAAGTCTATAAGTTGTAACAGCGTGAACATTACATTTGATGACAACATTAAAAGTTTCTTATCGTCATCAAAGGAAGCGTATGGGTTCCATCAGAACTCAGTATTCAGAGTGATTGTCATATTTCAAATCGGTCATGAAACATTGACATTTTTATGGGCAGATGTCATTGAATTAGCACTTCCTGAGTAGAAACTATTGATAGGCGTGTACAGGAGCAAAATGGGCTTTTGAGAGCAACTGAATGGACCACCATGATGTAAAAAAAAAAACTAATCAAAGACCACCATTGTCCAGATTAAAGCTGATTCCATCTGCTGTTATGGAGAGTCAGACAGAGGAAAAAAAGAGAGCAAATGGGGGGAATGGAAAAATATAAAAGTGGACAGAGAAGTTGTAAATCACACGAAGGATAGGACTAGTTAAGGCTAACTTTCACATGTCTCAGAGACATGCATGCAAATATATTCATTCCCTCTAGTCTGTGTTCTCTGTTTTTACCCTAGACCTCCGTGCTCTCCACATCCCCTGGGGAGGTCTGGCCAGATCCCACGCCTGCCTCCTGGGATAAATCCTGCTATGTTTCCCCTCCTACACTGTCTGGAGCCCAGACTCTGCTCTTTATTGACAGACAGTGACAGAACTGCCTAATGTATAGACCACACAAACTTTTTTACACCAGGCGAAGGGCAAAGGCTAAAAGGGAACATCTGTAGGAAATATTACAGAGAGTAGCATTAGAACCATTTACATTTTTGAGCAATTTCTTGTATATATATATATATATATATATATATTTTTTTTTGTATCCATCTTGACAACACAACAGTAAAAGGATAGGCTAGCCTTTATTTCTATCTATGCAATACTTAGCTTTTTTATATGATTAATTATGTTAACATGGTTAGCTCTTGCAAAATGACCACTAACAGTCTTCTGTCCTCTATCTCTGTTTCCCTCAACAGGTTTTATTTGATAGCCAGCGGTGTCCCACTCATCATATGTGGTATCACTGCAGCTGTAAACATCAGTAACTATGGAGACAACATTCCTTAGTGAGTACTGTGTTTTAGAACATTAGGAAAACTAGTTTGCTCATGTCTAGCTTTAAATGTTTCTATTATCAACAACCTGCATAATGTTAACATTAAAACGCTGATTCTTGATATATAGGTCAAAAATATTCCACAAGTGTACCTGTCATTAGTTTGCTATTCATGTTATATATCCTTATATATCTATATCCTATATATAACTATTCATATTTATATATCCTTTATACAGTATATAATAAATAATTGCTATTACAGTACATATGCTGAGATGCATTCTGACTTGCTGAAACATAAAGAATGATAAGCAAAACAGGCATTTTATGAGAAACATGTTGAAAAGATTAACCCAAATCCCCCCCCTAAATAGATTTAATTTAAGTGTTTATGTAATTTATGAGACAATACTGCAAATCATAATTAGGCCTTAACAATTATATTTTTGTTAGGAATTTTATGGTGCTTTTGTCACATACTTACAGATAGACTAGCGACACTTAATATAAAATGAAATTGTCTGAGGTCATACTTAGAGCTTTTTATTAGCTTCTGTTCTTTCTCTAACTGTCTGATACTTGCTGCAGATTTATTACACATGGTAGGCCGCTCCTTTACAGGCTCTTTAAAAAGTGTCTGTTTCATACAGAGCCTGCTTTGTGTTTCTGTTATTTGACTAATTACGCCTTTGCCCTCTCTGACCTTTTTCACTGCTCTTGACCTTTCGCCAGCTGCTGGTTGATATGGCAACCCAGTTTCGGAGCTTTCTACATTCCAGCTGGATTGATCATTCTTGTGACCTGGATCTACTTCCTGTGCACTGCTTTCTGCCTGAGGCGCCGAAACATCCAGGAGTCCAAAGATCCTCCTTGCTCCGCCTCCGTCCCCTCAACCTTGCCTGAGAGCCAACCGGCAATCAGCGGCAGCACCAGCCTGCTCTCGACAGACTCTGTGGTGGGCCCTGTGCATGCTGGGATGACAGTGGAGGACCAGTACTCATTGAAGGTCCAGTGTTTAGCGCTGGTGGCAACGCAGTTCGTGTTTGTGGGGCTGTGGTGCTGCGGCGCAATGGCCGTTTGGCAGGTGGATAGAGAGCGGAAACTCTTTAGCTGCCTGTATGGAGGAACGGCAACCGGATTAGGGATCTTCGTGGTGCTCCATCACTGTTTCAAGCGTTTGGATGTCCAGGCAGCGTGGCTAAGTTGTTGCCCGGGTTACCGTCGCTCCCAGTCCATGCCAGCTTATTCCCACCCCTGCACTGCAACCGTAGGTGTCCAGAGTGCCTCGGAAAGGGGCTCCCAACTTTTTGTAGGATGCCACCCACCGACGGACACCAACAATTACTCTTCTTCTGCCAGGTCATCATCTACTCAAAGTGGAACGACGAGCATTGCCGCCGGGCCTTGCAAACTCACCAACCTCCTTCAAGTGACACAAGACAACGTGAATAACGCCACCCGAGCACCAACGGGAACTAATACCAACACAAGTACAAGCACGGAGAACAACAAGCCAGCCAACAATCTGTTGCCCTGTCTACTGCCTGTCCAGCAGCCTCAAAGGAGGAAGGCTTGTAGTAGAACCAGGGGTGGCAACACCCAGTACCATCACCGGGGGGACGGGAGAGGGCATTACCGCCTCAAAGCTCTCAGGGCAGGTGGAGGAGGTAGCATGGGCGCTTTGGGACCTTCTGGGACAGAGCAATCAAACATCCACCATCTACACAAACACGCTTCCAGCGAGAATGGAAGTCTACGGAATAGCCATTCAGAGGGTCAGAATGGCCTTCTGACCAATGGGCGGCACAGAGGGGAGGGACTAGCGACAAGCCCTTCGGAAGGTAGCGATGGAGGTAGCAGCGGAAGTAAAAAACCTTTTCCCCTGTTGCCTTCGGTGGCAAGTAGGTCCACCACGCAACAAATTGCTCAATGTCGCAGCGTTAGCAAAGACAATCTTAAACTGGCCGCCACGGCTGAGAGAGAGTCAAAGCGGAGCTCGTTCCCTCTAAATGTGACATCAAATGTCACTGTGACGGCCTTGTTGACGACAGTTTCAGCACCTAATGGAACACTAAAGGGATCCGTGGTGGAATTGGACACTAGCGGAACTGACCAATCACAGGGTTCGGTTGGTATGAAGAGCAGGGTATGGAAGAGCGAGACAACTGTATAATAATGAGCTGCAGGTAGAGTTGAAAGACTTTGAAGGTTTCTTGATTGTGTAACTTGTATGCTAGAAGCCAAAGCATGGATTTCTTTCTCCACAACCTAGCTGAAAAGACTAGTTTAAACCAGCCTAGGATGGTTTTGGACACTTTTCAGCCAAGCTAAACATCAGCTTGGATAGGCTGGGAGACCGGCTAAACAAACTTCAGCTTGTAAGCTTTGAAGGTGTTCTGTGGTCTTTGAACCGTCCAACATGCTAAGAGCTAATGCTAAGCATGCTAATAAGGAGAAGCTGTGTGAGGCTGTTTTATATGAAGAAAAAGAAAGGGTGTGTATGCAAAACCTGACTCCTCTAAAAAGACATTGGAAGAGTTGGTTTGACAAAATATGCAAAATCATCTTGATTGCTTTTGTTTGCCTGTAATACCACTTAATCTAACAAACTGTTTGAACATAATGAATCTTTTAATATTGAATATGCCAAGGGATCTGAACCTAAAGTTCAGATGTTTAGCTGTGTTGATCTGTTTCTGAATATGCATATCGATCAGGATGGAGAACCTGTTCGCTTGTTACCTAAGTTTTCTTGTTCAGTCCCTTTATGTCCTTGTCTCTTGTGTGTTCATGTTTTTATTCACGCTATTTCATTTACATGTCTATAAGAATGTATATAGTGTTATGTATGTATTGTTTGACCATTACAGTGTTAATTCAATTCTCTGGCACTAATAAGCAGCTTTTGACATCAGTCCCACACAAATATAGAAAACAAAGACTTGCCATTGATCTATCCATCCCCAACATTTCCATCCAATGCTTAACTGGTGCTGGGAATGTCGTTCTTGTTCTTCTGATGTTGTTAAGCAGAAAGTGAACTATTGCATTCAGTTTTTAGTGAATAGGAACTATTTGGAAAATGTTGCTTAACAGTGCCCTCTATTGGGCCATTTCTGCCATTGATCAAATGCACTGATAATGAATGCTGTTGATGGACAAATGATATCAACAAAGTGACAGCTGCTTCAGATGTCACTCCAGAGTTACTAAGGGATTTGATAATGAAGGGCAAGTGTTTGTCCATACAGTACATGTTCTGTTGTAGTACCTTGTGTAACATGCTTTTTTTAGCACTTGGTTCAGGTTGTGAAGAGAGCATTTGGCATATTCTTATAAATAATAACACATTTATATTATACATATCAGTATTAATATTGATGTAATTGTCATTATGCAATTTTATGATATCAGTGTTTTACAGAGGATTGGCCTAATCAGTTTTATAAACTCTCTGTTTTTAGTCTAAAAGCACACCAACAATCAAAGCTAGACCTCCCATGCTTCCCCCCCCCCGCAGATTATTACCATACATAGAGCAGGTTTTGTTTACTATCAAGCACTGTTCATCCCACACATGTTTAGCAAGAAGAACTACTAATCTACCTGGAATAGTTAGTACTCCTTCATAAGCTTATGCTGAGGAACAAGGAATTTGTGATAACAAATAATTATTTTCAATAGGTCTTTTGTTTTTCAAGTGTCCAAGTGTCTTTTTCTCACGAAAGCAAAGAATGGACAATCCCAACCGCCCGACAAAGGGGAATTCAGATCTTTGCACTGACTGTTTTTTTTCCAAGGCCCACAAGCTATCAGATACTGACTGAAGTGCCATTATTTTTAGATCACATCATGACGAAGTCACAAGCGTTGCCTGTCTTTAGCTTTAGCTACACTTTGATTAAAATAAAATGATTTTAAAGTGTGTTCAGGGATATTTGTATGCCAAAGAAAGCTCACTGTAAGTATGAGCTTATTTGATATTGTGTAGCCAGAAATCTCCCTCAAAATTGTTAAACATTCAAAGACCACACATTGCTAAAGAACCAGTCCTCCCTTTTCCCAAATCAAAAAGCATTTAACGTCATGATGACCAGTGTGATAATTTTGTGATTAATGCAAGTTAAACTATTGATTATGAAGGCTTATAATCACCATCACGTCATTACAGACTACATATATTCTATTTCATTTTGGTTGTATATGATTTCAGTAGTTTTTGGGGCAAAGTGTCATTTGAAACGACAACAACAAAGAATGTAGTCAAATAATACATGGAATTTGTGGCCTGCTCAAAGTTTGCCATGTGTATGTAATACTTTGTTTTTTTTTTTCTTTAAAAAAAGATACAAATTTTAAATGGCTTGTTTGTGCATAATGGTTTCAGGTGACATTGTGATATTTGCATGAACAATTTTCTTTGCCTCTGGGTTGGCCTAGAGCTTCTGAGGGTCAGAATAATTTCAGTGTTATCCTAAATAATGTTTCGATTGTCATCTCGAAGTTTAAAAGGGAGATTTCAATATTAGCATTAATATTTATATTTTTGTCACTCACTTCAATATGAAAATGATAGCAGCATTTTTGTATCGATTCCAGTAATATATTTCCTATAGATGTTAAGAGTGTGCCTTATCTATGACCTGATGCAAAATAAAGGTTTGGAAAAATGCCATAAAATCAAAATGACTTCTCTCGTATTTTTATGTTTCCTAGAATGTATCATATGTGATTTAAAGAGAAAAATCCCAGCCCACGTTTCGCATTAGGCACGTAACTTCTGTTTCTATGTAATATGTAAATAAAGAATGAAGCCAATCAAAAGTGAGCCTTGCATTATTGACACGTGCATAATCCTATCAGAGTGCGGTACTCTAGAGAGTGGGCGGGACAAACACTGAGAAGGAATGAGCATCACGCTACTAAGCTACTGACAACACTGACTGACCTCGGTAGCGTAGTGGAGGCGGTTTATTGCCAAATAAACGATTACAGTGATTTACAGATAGCAGGAGACCGAGTCAGTCTGAAAGATGACTAATCGGCTTGAAAACAACTACTCATACTGACGTTTTCTGTTTTTGTTCTGCTGAATAGCCTTTATCTGAGCTCTACAGTGATTCGCTTGGTCTACCGTTAATAAAGTCTGAGGAAGTAAACTGAGGAAACGCTAATGAGGAAATTCTTCAACAAAGATATTCTGAGAACAGTTTTTAAAATCTACATAAAGGTAAACTGATCTCAGGCGTGAAGGTTTCTGTTAGGCTACTACAAATGCACGGATATTTAATCGAGTCAGTTTCTGATTGGTTGTCTGATGCAACATCTCGCTGAAACATTTTAGCAACCACGTTGTTTACTGTACACCTTTAGCAGCTTAATTCGGGGTTAAATTATGACCAAAGGTTAAAAGCTGCGCGAATGTAATCTGGGATTTAAAAAGAAGTTATCACAGGGTTATACGTGTGCTTAGCCTACTATCAAAAGCTCTTCTTTAAATAGTTTAATGCAAGGATGAAGTGATACCTGCATCACCTGAGCGCTGGGTACACAGTGTACGTCACGCATGAGGGGCGGGGCCTACGAGAGCTCCCAAACAGTTACACTCGGGAGCCAGAGCGACACGGCAAACATCAAGCGGGCTCCAGCGAACGAAGCACAACTTTTCGTCCCGGTTAACCTGGAGTTTAACTGAGGATGTCTTTGGGTGACCAGCAGTGGTATCCCACCAGCGTTCAGGTAACGGTGCTTAAAGCACGAAACCTGCGGATCAAGGGCAAGAATGGCACGAACGACGCCTATGCCATCATGCAGGTGGCCAAAGACAAGTTTTCCACCTCCGTCGCGGAGAAATGCATCTCGCCCGAATGGAAGGAGGAGGCGACCTTCGATCTGCCGCTGATCCATCAGGGGGACGCGGAGCGGTGCACGCTCTACATCATCGCCATGCACCGAGCCCTGGTGGGGCTGGACAAGTTTTTGGGACAGGCTGTCATCAACTTACTGGACCTCCACGCCAACAGATCACGCAAAAAGTCTGAGTGAGTGTCATTGTGTTCTATGGGGAAATACTTTTGTGGTGTGGGTGTTCGAGTTGTGTCGAAACTATTCCATTATGAGTTAAAGATTTTAAAAGTTTAAAGTGATATGCTACCAAACAGCTAATCATAGTTTGTTTTGGTCTCTTTTGCATGGACAGGTTTCAGTACGCCGCCCTTGTAAAACAATGTTAGGCAAGCAACTTCGCCTCCTGGGTGTTCCTATGAACATTATTCAATAATAATTATTCACTTCATAAAACGAGTGATCACTGATAGTGTTTAGTAAAACTGACTGGAGGGGGGAGGAGGTGGAGTTATGTTTGGGTGCAGTCTCTTTTATTTATTTATTTGTTTTTTTTACAAAAGTGTTTTTCCCACTCAGTAGGAGTCAACATGATTAGGGTCATAAAGAATATGGCCAAATATGGATTGTAAATATTTACAAATCATTGAATTTGTAACACAAATGTAACACAACAGGATGGTTTCAAACATATTTGTATTGAATTAACAAATAATAATATTGTTTTTCTGGACCTTATAAAGAAATTTTCTAAACACCAACTATTAGTTTAGAATCTGTGACATAGTTGTTGTGATGAAATAATGACAATTTTGCTAAGATTTATTTTGCTAAATAAATTAATGACAGGGATAGTCATGAAATGTTTTGTCCCATGTTTAAAGAATCGGTGGCATGGGGGAATATATGTATATATATATATATATATATATATATATATATATATATACACACACACACATATATTATTAATAATATTATATATATATATATATATATATATATATATAAAATATTTCATGGACTTTGTGTTCTTTTCACACATTGTCAGACTGTTTTCTTCTGTGATTTGAATATACTTTTATCAAATTATTTATTTATTTGTTTTTTTTACAAAAGTGTTTTTCCCACTCAGTAGGAGTCAACATGATTAGGGTCATAAAGAATATGGCCAAATATGGATTGTAAATATTTACAAATCATTGAATTTGTAACACAAATGTAACACAACAGGATGGTTTCAAACATATTTGTATTGAATTAACAAATAATAATATTGTTTTTCTGGACCTTATAAAGAAATTTTCTAAACACCAACTATTAGTTTAGAATCTGTGACATAGTTGTTGTGATGAAATAATGACAATTTTGCTAAGATTTATTTTGCTAAATAAATTAATGACAGGGATAGTCATGAAATGTTTTGTCCCATGTTTAAAGAATCGGTGGCATGGGGGAATATATGTATAAATATATATATATATATATATACACACATTGTCAGACTGTTTTCTTCTGTGATTTGAATATACTTTTATCAAATATTTATGTTGAAATAGCAGTGAATTTGTCTGAACATAATCAACTTCATCGTCCATCGATACAGCTACAGCAGCTGAATGTATACTTTGTTTCGGTAATGCAGTTGCATTATTCCCAGTGCTGTCCTTTCATATTTATAATGTGTTTTATCGTGTCCTTTGATTTTCTGCCTAGAACAAACTCCACAGGTCTACTGAACTGCTTCGGAGGCATCTGTCTAGCCTGATCAGAGCTGTCATGAGGACTTTCTTGGGGTGCTTTAGTGTAGTAAAACCTATTAAAGTCTCACATATGATTTTAGGTTTTGAGCTGCCATGATGAGGTTGTTAAGGTGTTCGTAGTGTTGCTGTGTGGTTGCTAGGGTGTTGCAAATATGACCCAGATCTCCTTCATATACATTTTACAAAAGATATTTGTTTTTTATTAATTTATTTAAAAAAATGAATTGTCCCCAACCCTGAGTATAGTTATGTTATTCTTAACCATAAATGACAAGAACTATTTCCATGGGACATGTATAAATAGGCACAGATTTTAGTAGGAAACAGAACACAAAATTTATACATTTTTTATTATTATTATTTTGGTTATAGTTTCAATTTAGGAGTTGCTTAGCTTCATTTTTCTTTAGCTCTTTGGAAATGAGGGTTGCTTATATTCAAAAACAGAAGGTGTGTGAGTTTCACTTTATTTGCATATTAGGGCAGCTTGCTGATTTGTCCAGTCGACTTCCTGTTCTGGCCTTTGACAGAGAGATAGGGAAGTGCAAAGGCTGTGTTGTTGCTTTGGGTTTGGTCATAGGGGCATTTTGCGGTTTGGCAGCTGTGGCCTTCGGTGTTCGAGGTCCTGCTGTTTGTCCTTGTTGTGTGGCATTGGTGCTGCAGATTGTCAGGCCCGTTTGATTCATTGCTCCATCAGCGTCTGCTTGTTTGGACTTGTTATTTTTCCATTCGTACTCATTCTGTTTGGATTAGTGGATCACACACATGACGTGACCATGACCATGTTTGGTTTACTTGTTTTGCATTTGTATGCTTTGTAAAGTCCCCATGAGAAGACCAGAAAAAGTTCAATACAAAAATGTTTTATTATAAATATTATTGTTGTTTTTATTACTATAACAATTATGAGAGTGAGCTTAACTTTATGTAGAATTACTTTTAACAGAAAAGCTTTTTCACTCTCAGACTGTGTTTTTTTTTTTTTTTTAAGCCAGGACAATTCATAGTATAATAATTAGGCTGAGATAAGAATATGTGTCCCATGAGCCCTTTTAAGTCATTATAGTTTTACTTATAACAGCTGCAGAACAATTATTAATATAAGGAGTAACTGGTTGCAGCTTCATCAGCTGATCCTTTCATTTTTCTTGTTTTTTTCCTCGGATGTGTTCCTCTGACAAATCATAGTTTATCATTCCAAGCAAGTAAATGGGACTAATAGAGTAAAATGGTCCAGCACAATCTCACACAACCAGTCTAACTGTATTACAAATAATGACGTTTTTACATTCCTCTCCACCCATCCCAGCCCAGTATAACAAAACTTTACTTGTCACTAACTGACAGGTATGAGTGAGACCCAAGGTTGGGCTGATGGTGTGTAACTATGTACATTAGTGTTTACTTTCCACCACCTGTAAGAATAGTGTGTGTGTGTGTGTGTGTGTGTGTGTGTGTGTGTGTGTGTGTGTGTGTGTGTGTGTGTGTGTGTGTGTGTG